CATTCTCGGAAATGGTCTAATTTTATTCCGAAAATACTCTCAATTAATTATTTATTTTCATTTAATTTCTTTATATAGTGCAATTTTATAAAACTTTTAATGTAGTTTCTAAATATGTAAATTTTATTTACTTAAAAATAATCTTATTATTGAAAGAGATCAGTTAATTTTATGGTCAGTCGTAGATTGTGTGACAACCTTTTAAGTGAGACAGATGAAGTATGTTTATTTAATTATATTCGAATGTCTATTTTTGTTATTTTCATAATTCTTTTTCCCTTAACATTTAAATTTTTTAAGGTATTTATTTTATAAGACTTATAGGTTATTTAAGTTTTTGATGAGTGGATTTCAAAATTTAATGGCAAAATTGATCATTTTTTCTTTAATTTGAAAAAAAGTTATATGAATAACTTGAACATTTTTTACTTTTATTTTGAAATAATAATAATTATATTTAGAGGTCGTTTGGCAACCCTCATTTTCGGCTTATCAGGCTTATCAGCCAACTTTTTTACCAAACACGTAAATTTTGCTTTCGTGCGCTGAATAGTGTAATAAGCCGAAAAAGTAAGGTTGAAGTTACTTTTCTGGCTGTATTGGCTGAAGTTATTGTAGATGATCATTTTAGCTATTTTTACATATAATATTTTCTTTATTTTATTAATAAAATATATTTTACAAATATTTTTTTCTTGTATTGGCAGAATCAGCCAATGCAGCCACTTCAGCCAGAACTTCATAAATTTCAGCAGAATCAGCCAAAACAGCCGATTTTCGTGCTACCAAACGGGCTCTTAGATTACTATTTGAACAAAGTTTTTTTCACTTTTGAATTGGATCTACAACTTTTTACAATTAAACGTAGTTTACTTAAAAATAATTCAATTAGGTTTGGTTTTGTTTATTACTAAGATATTTCATTTTTTAATTTAAATTACTTTAGATGTAGGTTGTAATAGATTTATTGCGTTGAGATAAAATATTTAAAGAGATTGAAGTAATTTACCATACCTGCAATATAAGATATCTTTCAAGTAAGTAAATTAATATCACATTCGATCCCTTAATCTTTACCAAACACAAAATGGGAATAAATTGGATACTTTCTCAACAATCTAACATACCCAACAATTGATATTCCCGTGATAATTTGACATTCCCTAAACCAAACGACCCCTTTGAGTTTTGCTAAAGGTACCCCAAAATGAACCTCATTTTTACTCCATCCCTAATGTGTGATTATAAATGAGGCAATTCATTTAAGTGAGACATGAATTGGCCCATTTATAACCACGCATTAGGGTGTGGAGTAAAAATGAGATACTACCTCCGTTCCCATTTTAACTTCCAAATGGGTTTGACACAAAGTTCAAGATAGTGGATATTGTGTGATGGAGAGTTGTGCAGAGGAGAGAGAAATGTGTAAAAAATGTTGTGAACCACAAATTCTTTAACAAAAAGGGAAAATGGAAGTTTTAATTGGAACGGACGAAAAAAGAAAGTTGGAAGTTTATTTAGGAACGGAGGGAGTACATTTTAGGATACCTTTAACATGTGTGTCACTATTTTATTATAAACATCATTTCCCATTATTTCAAAAAGTGGGACTGATTTGAATGAGGGTAGTAACTATTGCCTCCGTCCCGCTATGATTGTCTCGTTTTACCTTATCGCTCCATCACATTAAAATTGTCTCATACCAAATTTGGCAAAATTCTGTAGCGTTAAATCATTCTCACATTATTCTTTCTTTATCAATTAAATATCAACCACATAAATCATTTTTTATTGATTTGCGTATCGCTCCCTCTTATTTCATCGTTAGCGGGACGGAGGAAGTAATAAGTAGGGAGTACAACATGGCACAGCGACGCAGATCGATATGATGGGGATAAAGTACAACCTATATGTGCAGAGGTGGAATGATGATTATATATTGGCGTATGGCGGCATCGTCATCCCTTGCTAGCTGTTGCGCGATACAACCAAGCTGGCATTTCATTATTACGCATTTACCCCTTGCCAGCCCCGGACTCTAATTCGGATATATCCATTTAGATATGATTGTTCAAACTTGGCATACTACCTACTCCCTCCGTTCCTAAAAATTCTTCCCGGTTTGACTTGACACGCTTATTAAGAAAGTGGAAATGTATGGTTGTAGTTGTGTAAGAAAAAAGTAAAATGAATGTGAGCCACACAAATTGTCCAAAATGAGAAAGTGGGAAGTATTTTTGGGAACAACCCAAAAAGGAAAGTGAGAAGTATTTTTGGGAACGGAGGGAGTATAATACTCCTATTTTCTTTTTATGAAATTGAATATATTTTCTTTTTAAATTATGAAATCAAATCTTATAGAATGGTCTACAAATCTTTGGCGGTAGAAGCAACCACCACTTGAGTTGAAGCTGCGAAGAGACATAGGAAATAGCTTACAATTGCTCACATGCAACTCCAAATTATCTTAGTTGTTCTCTTGTTGACTTGGGGGGAATTTGATGTATTTTAGTCAATCTTATCTTATACAAATAGGACCCTTTAATTTCTCAAATAGGATTTTTAGGTTGTTTTTTGGAATATAACAATAGTTTTATAATCCGTATATGAACTTTAGCAATAATTATTTTGTTCCTGACTTTTCTCATTCTGAATTTGGATTCAAATATATTCCGACTCCATAATGAAACCTTTTAGTGTAGTTCCATGAATTTAAAATAGTACTACACTACATAATAAAGATCATTTTGATGGTGATATCATGTATCGATTCATCTTAGTCGACCCCAATATTTTTTGAAACTAATGCTTGAATGTTGTTGTTGTACGTAATAAAGATGTAATGATGTTTTTACTTAGACGAATTTCAGTGCAAAACAGAGCATATTAGACTTGTATAAGCCACACCAGATCAATGAATAAATTAAAGTATATAACACTAAGCAGAATTTAATAGATAATATTATACTCTGTAATAAACTATGGTGTGGTTGAGTTTTTAGGATGTTTTTACTTGAGCTGGTTTCAGTTCCAAATCGGACTAAACTAGATCATATCAGACCAAATCAAAAAATTACATTTCAAGTAAAAACATCCATTATCATCCTTATTTTAGTTGGATCATGGCGTGGATCATTAAAACTCGTATTACAAAGATTCATTTCGTTTCAAAGTTTCTAACAAATACGCGCACAGTGTTTCAAAACAAATCCAAGTAAATGCACATCGATAAAATGTACAAAGATTCGTATCTAGATGAGGAACATTTATCTGACATCACAAACATTTAAATCAAAATAGCGAAAGTAACAGGCTGTGCCTGCTTTAGAATTTATAGGCATGAGTGTGACCTGTTACCTGTTAAAAGCGCGACTTGACTTGAAGCCTGTTTAGTGGGCATGTTAAATAAAAAATCAAAAGTTCAGAAAACTAAAAAATAAAAAGTGAAAAATCATTTTAACACGATATAAAACTTATCTCCCCAAATGTTCACTAAAAAGTCTAATTATGCGTTAGTTTGGTATTGAATGTCTAATAATACGTCGGTTACGTAGCTTATAAATTTTTATGTACTTCCAATTTCGAAAAAATTTGAATTTCAATTACTCTAATAACCTATTAACACATTTTATATATTTGAAATAGTATTCTAATTTGTAATACACGCTCCATAAAATAATATTATGCCTAATTTCCTATAGGTAAGTATACTAATAAAATATAAGCAATATAAATAAATATAAATATAACCAAATACTCCGTATATACAAACACACACACATAAATAGGCGACTTGTTAAGTTTAAAAGGTTTTAGAGGTAGCCTAAGGCTGACCTATTTTTGAATAAATACGAAATAATTTTTTAAAGCACACGCATAGTTTGATTATCAAACGGGCAAGGTTGGGCCTTAAACAAGCCACGGCCCTGGCCTGACACAACGTCTGACCTATTTTCATCCCTAATTCTACCGTGTATAAATATATATTCTATTAAAATCTAACATCATTGACTTGAAAGGTTAAACTTGACCAAATAAAAAGGGACGGAGTATACAAATAAACGAAATAACCGTAGACATTGCCATCTACATAAAATTCAATTAAAAAGTAAATCATTCTACCATTATTTATTTTTAGTATGGAATTTATCGTCTAAATCATCGCTAGTATAATGACACATATTCAAAGGTATGGTACAATAGTTTTGAAGTTTGTATTGTATCCCTTCGCCCCTTTTAAATTTTTACACATTCATTTTTGTGACGTCTCATTTACGTTTTCTTTTTAGGCAACTCGTTTTATAGTAAGTGTCCTAACTACCCTTCACCACTCATTCACTTTTTACATTTGAGTGAATAACATTAATTCTCCCGAAAGTTGAAGGACATACAGGACATTTGTTTTTCTATTAATTGAGCTTTTAAAATACTGTGACAAAATCAAACGTCAAGTTCTATTCGGACCTTTCAGGACGGAGGAAGTATACAATAATGTCAAGACTCAAGAGCATTTTTGCTTGCTAAGAAAATGATGACACCACATTCCTGAGTGCCTCCAAACCTCGATCCGACGCTAATCGGAATGACGTAAGATTTTAGCATTTTTGTTTGCTATTTTTTTTGATAATCCAGGTGTCAGGGCTTACGCTCTCATAATCCTGGAGTCTATGAACTACCCTCCAAAGCCCCTAGACAGTTAAGTCCGGATCTGATCACAGTCAGCCTCGTTAGTGCTGGCTCCAAAGGACGAATCCAGCAGGACTTAATCACCTTTCAGGCTGCTCCTCCCACCACATGAACCCGCTACCTTCATTATCATCCTCTCCCTTCTCAGCCGCTGAGCAACTCCATGAAGGTATGTAAAATCATGAGGAGCAAGACCTCATTCATCTCCCTTGATGTGAATTGAACCCAAAACCTCCCAAAATGGAGAGACTAAAAAGTGGATGGTCATCCATTGTGCTACGTACACCTTCCTTTTTGTTTGCTAAAAACGCACACTAGAAGAGACGAGAAAAAACGAGTAGAACGTACGTACGTACACCCCTATCAGGCCCATACCACCACCTGTACGTCCATCTCTCCAATAAATACCAAACGTGGGCTGCTCTTTCAGTCCTCACACCTTACCCAATCTGGCCAAGAGATCGACAACAATGGAGTTTCAAGCACTGCTTCTGCTTCTCTTCGTCTCTTTCACTCTCTCCTTTGCCACTGCATCCACTGTACGTATCTTCACTGTCCCAACTTTAATGCAACTTCCCGCTTGCTACTGATCTTTTTTGTGTTTTCTCTTTGTTTTTGTTTTCAAATTTCCAGAGCAATGAGAAGCCGCCGTCTCTAAGTCAAACTCCAGCGCTGACGCCACCCACTCAGACACCGGCCATTTCACCGCCGCCTGTCAAGACCATTCCCGTTCTTCCCCCAGTTAAACCGACGCCGCCTTTCCGACCGATATCTCCTCCTCCTTCGGCGCCGGCCGCCAAGACGTCTCCCTCTTCACCGCCGGTTCCGGTAAAGACCCCATCTCCTCTTCCCCCGTCGACTCCGCCCCCCGTCCATACCCTCCCCCCATCACCGCCTGTCCCGGTGAAAGCGCCGTCGATTCCTCCACCGACAGGGAAAGCGCCTCCTACTCCGGCTGTCACTCCGACACCACCTTTCCGACCTCCAAGAAACATGGCAGGTAAAACGTTGCTTCCAAATTACGGCATCCTTGAAAACTTAGAGCCCGTTTGGTGACCCCTTTTTCGGCTTATCAGACTTATCGGTCAGTTTTTTCACCAAACACTTAATTTTTGATTTCGCGCGTTGAATTTTGTAATAAGTTGAAAAAGTAAGGTTAGAGTTACGTTTATGATTGTATTGGCTGAAGTTAATGTAGAGGATAATTTTTTCTATTTTTTCATATATTTTTTTGTTTAATTTATTAATAACAAATATTTTAAACATAATTTTTTCATAAATCAGCAAAATCAGCCAATACAGCCACTTCAGTCAGAACATAATAAATTTTAGCTGAATCAGCCAATTCAGCCAATTTTAATGTTACCAAATAGGCTCTTAGTGTACGTACAGCGAGCAGGTTTAAAATTTAAATAGAAATTGCCCAAGAACTAAAATATACATGTGCTTACAAAACAGGGAAAGTACTCCGGAGTAGATTTTACCAAAAATAGTTTGATACAACTCATTTTGAAATAATTACACATTAATGTTTAAAATAAAAATAATTTACAAAAAACGTGACTACGGATTATGAGTAGGAATGAAATTATATAAGTTTAAAGTTGACGCACATCTCTTTATGTTTATTTTTATTTTATGTTTATTTTTTATAAGTTACTCCCTCCGTCCCTAATAACTTTGCCAAGTTTGACCGGCACGGGGATTTAATAAAGTAAAAACTGTGTGGTTGAGGTTTGTGTAGAGGAGAGAGAATTAACTGAAATCACAAATGCTTTACTTAAAGGGGAAAGTGGTAAAAAGTTAATGGGACATCCAAAAAAGGAAAGTTGGCAAATTATAAGGGACGGAAGGAGTATTTAAGGTGCCGCACATCCGTTTGAATGAAATGACTACGGATAGTAGTAATTTATGTTTATTTTTTAAAGTTAAATTATTATAAGTTATTTTTCTGTAATTATGTTTTATTTTAGTACTACCTCCGTTCCTATTATAATTTCCAAATATGGTTGACACACAATTTAAGATGGTGAGTATTGTGTGGTGGAGAATTGTGCAGATGAGAGAGAAATGTGTAAGAAATGTTGTGAATGACAAATTCTTTTACCAAAAAAGAAAAGTGGAAGTTTTGATTGGAACCGACGAAAAAGAAAAGTTAGAAGTTATAATAGGAACGGAGGAGTAATACGAAGTATTTTTTAGTGAAACTCTAAAAACATTCAAAATTCGAGTGAACGAGTCTTTTTAGTACTCCCTCCGTCCTACCGACAATAATACGATAAGTGAAAGTAACATGCAATTTCCCAAAAATACTTCTCACTTTCCTTTTTGGGCTATTCTCAAAAATACTTCCCACTTTCCCATTTTGGACAATTTGTGTGACTCACATTAATTTTACTTTTTTCTTACACAACCATAACCATACATTTCCACTTTATTTCACTTTCTTAATAAGTGTGCCAAGTTAAACCGGGAAGAATTTTTAGGAACGAGGGAAATAAAATAGTCTTTTTAGTACTCCCTCTGTCATACTAACAATAATACGTAGTATAAACGAAAGTAATAATACGTAGTATAAGCGAAAGTAACATGCAAACTAATAAAACATTGTTTATCTGATTGATATTCAATTGATAAAGTAAAAATAAAATAGAAATAATTTGAAATTACACAAATTTTATTAAATTTGGGAGTAATTTTTAAATGAGACAATTTTAAATGAGAGAATAATATTTAGAAAATTTTCCATAACCTTAAAAGTACTTGTAAAATGACGTATATACCGTGATTATTTCAGAATGTGGACCACCGTGTTTGGAGAGGTGCAAGCTCCACTCGCGGCCGAATGTGTGCCAGAGAGCGTGTACGACGTGCTGCGTGCGGTGCAAATGTGTGCCGCCGGGTCAGTCCGGCAATAAAGAGATGTGCGGCAGCTGCTACACTAGCATGACCACCCACGGCGGAAGGACCAAGTGCCCCTGAACTATTAATTACACGTATTTAATAATTTAATAATTATTATACATTCTGTAATCCTTGATGTTTCTCTGAAATTATGTTCCTTTTAAATTTGTTTCAGTTGATTACGCTTTTTGAAGGGACAACGACCCTTTGCGTTCATTGTATGCAAGTAATAACCTAGATAAATATTGCTGTATGTCGAACGTATAACCAAGTTTATTTAAGGGATTTTCCCCTTAATATTATTAAATTTAAGCTCATTTCCAAAAAAGTGACTGCATTTATATTTAGACAAAAATGTGATTAAAGTACAGTGACACTTTCACAGTGACGTCTTCATCATCGCTGGTCACAGTGACACCTTCGCAGTGACTTCTTCGTCATCGTTGGCCACAGTGACACTTTCGCAGTGACATTTTCGTCGTTATCAACCGTGTCATTGCCGCCGGTCGTTGTCGTTGCCGGTAATCACTGCCGGCCACAATGACACCACCCAGTGACGCCACCATAGCGACGCCCGATTTTTAGAAACGCTGTCCATTGAAGTTACTTCGGCCGTCACCACCTCGTCAGTATCCTTCCTTAGCCTCCAACTCCCCGCCCAAATCCAGCATCTGCTGTTCAGGCTCATTTTTTCGGTGCCCCGTTGATCAATACAGTCGTCCTCCTCTGTCGCTGCTTCTAATCCTCAGCCATTGTTGCCTGTCCACCAGCGTCGCCCTTATCCCTTTGACAATCTACACCCATGTCTCGTCCACAATTTACAGCCCATGCTCCATCCCAACACCCAACCTGTCACTGCACACCATTACACAGCAGATCTCTAGCCAACCCCACTCCCCGCCGCTAGCCCTATGCATCAGATAATCACTAGCCCCTAGCCCCCAATCCTCGCCCCTAGCCATATGCAGAAGATCCCCACCTAGCCCCTAGCCCACTCCGCTCAAATAGTTGTACGCACCAAGTCCAGTGGAGACGCGGCCTTTGAGGAAGACAGAGAAGGTCAATTTCAGTTGCAGTCGGCGGAGAAGGTGAACGGCAGAGGTTGAATTGGCGAAGAAGAAATGAAAAGGAGTAATTGCGGTAGGGCGACGGTGGCGGTGGAAGAACGACAACGGCGGCAAAACAACAGAAATAGTGAAGAAGAAATCAGTAATCTGCTAGTGGAAGAATGGTAGAGGAAGAAGAGGATGGGAACAGACATAGCGAAGCGGTAGAAGAAGATGGATGGACGACGTGAAATGTCGAAGAAGAGAGAGACATGGATCGGCGGATGGATTTATATAAGTCACTTTTTAGTCCAAATTAAAATTAGTCATATTTTTGTCCATCCAAACTATAGAAGTAATAACTTTGCCATTCTTTTCTTTATTTACCGAGTATCTGCCGAATTTTTGCAATTTACACCGTGTGCTTGCCAATTAACCAGCGTCTATATCTTACCTCCGAGCGTACAGTTTCCACCGTACATCCGGTCTAGTAAGGAAGACAGTGGCCCATTAACTAATATAGCCCATAACTTAAAAAGTCCATTTTTTTGAGGCGGTGACATTTTCTTAATTTAACAGAAAAATCGTGGCTTTCGCTAAATGAACATTAGTGTAATTTTAGTAAGCATCTAAAATATTCTATTGAGTCTTAAGAGCCTAACAATGAGCATCACGATCTCTACATCATATTTTCTTCTATAAAATCTTATTAAATTATATTTAAAATCCAGTCCAATGAATTTCAATATGTGAATTTAATGTAATATGCTACTTTTGAAATATGCATTGATATGAAAATTTACAAATGAGTATAAATATGTACCAAATGAGTAAATGTAACTTACAAAATGCGGATTGATATGAAAATTATCAGGTTTGTTAGCTGAATATCATGACATTTTCATTGATCATCAAACCCCCTCTCTTGAGTTGAAAATCACGATTTCTGTTAAATGAGCATTAATGAACTTGTAATGAGCATCAAACCTATCTTGTTGAGTATTATGAGTCGATATGATTCCACTTTAGGTCCTCCGAGTTTTGTGTCATTTCCATATTTAGTCCTCATCTTTCACTTTATCCATTTTTGGTACCTGACTATTGTTTTCTTGACCAATTGTGGTCCATTTCTGAGCATTTTTACTATCGGAAAAGGACTATAAATGGTCAAGAAAACAATAGTCAGGTACCAAAAATGAATAAAATGAAAGATGAGGACTAATTGTGGAATTGGTGCAAAACTCTAAGGACCCTAAGTGGAATTTCTTCATTATGAGTCTAATGTTGAACATCATGATGTGTACTTCATACTGCCTCAGTCTCAATTTGTAAGATACATTTCCTATTCACTTGATCAACATAAATCACTCTTAATCTTTTACTTTATATATCAAAATTTTATGAAATTTGAATTTTTTGAAGGTTTTGTAGCAGTTTTAATGTAATTTCTGAATATGTAAAGGCTCCTCACGTTGCAATATGCTTGAACCTAATCCTGCAATGGTTTCCTTTGTACCTCTAAGACGGCGGCGGATTCCACAAAGAAGACGATCGGCAAAAAAAAGTGGCCTGAGAACTTATACGTACGTATCAAAATCCTGGGATGAGAGTGTTATTAAAAGGTTTAAAGTTCCTTCTTATTACAAAAATACCGGATGTACGTATACACCCAGGTGTAGGATATAATTGGTGCCAATCATGAATTTCCTTATTTGATTAAAAGGATGATTTTACTTAGATTGTTTTTTAATTTCAGACAAGAGTTAAATGGATAAGACTGGACTTTCATAAATATAAAGTATACAGAGACCAGATGTTTATCAAACTAGTTTAGAATATACCAAATTTAAACGGATCAGATAAGACCAGATGAGAAAATTACGGTCCAAGCAGAAACATAAGTGTGTTCACTCAGCCATTTAAATATGGGGGATTTGACTTTGTACCCTACTTTTTGGCTGATATTGGATTTTGCACTTCATTTTCAAAATTTTTTGACTTTGCACCCCATTTCACTTAGAAATCCTTTGACTTTGTACCCCATTTTAAAAAATTTCTTCACAAAATGTTATATGATGGGGTGCAAAGTCAAATTCTCCCTTTACTTATGACTAGAAAGAACTTTTGAATCATTCTAAATTCTCCACATTTAGGTTCCAAATGGCTACTTGTAATCTTTCATTTATATGGAGTAATATTGTTTGAATAAGTAGTGTAGAGCTAAAAAGGAACTAAAAGTTTCATTTTATGAAAATCAGACAATTAATATGAAAATTTTTAAAGAGCGTTATAAAAGATGTCTCTTGAGTAATAGTTGAAGGATTTAAATAGAAACTTTTAAAGTTGAGTACTGAAAGTATGACTACCATAATAATAAGAGTACTAAAAGTGATGAAAACTTGACAATATACTACTCCCTCCGTCTCGCTAACAATGGGACAAGAAAGAGTGGCACCCAAATTAATAAAAAGTGGTTTATATTGTTGATATTGAATTGATAAAGTAAAAATAAAGTAAGAATGATTTAGAGACACACAAAATTTACCAAATTTGGTATGGGACAATCTTAGTGGGACGGACCAATAAGGTAAAATGGGACAATCATAGCGGGACGGAGGTAGTACTACGTAATACGGATACTCCGTATTAAATACGGACTATGCAATTTCATTATTCTACCATAATTTATAAGGTAGATTCTATGGTACCCTTAAGGTACCATACCTTTGTCCAAATAGACGAACATGAATCATGCAGTTGAATTAATTAAACCTAAATTAAAAGGAATAGAATGATTTGGACCAATCAAATGCATGGTAGGTACGGTACCTAAATTTTTAAAAGGGTACCGGAGTTGTCACCAATTTATAATGTGTAAAAAGCTAGAGCATTAATTACATTTTAATTTTCTCTTCTTATAAATTTAGTCTCAAAATTTACCTTAATATTTTATAAATTCATTATTTTTTCTAGAGTCATACCTTCTCCACTATATTGATTTCATTTTAATATTATTTGAAGTACATTATAGTAAGTAGCTTCATATCATACTAGGCATGGACTCGGGCAGGGCTTGGTCGGACTTTTTTCTGGATTCTTGAGGCCCGGAACCGGCCTGAGTAGCTACCGGATCCGGTTCGGGCCGAGCCTCAGGCCGGCTACCTTTTTTTCTAATTACTTCCTACCCCCACCCCCACCCCCACACCCCAAACCCCTTCAAAACATCCAGCCCAACCCATTTACATCCAAAGATTTTGAAAAACAAAAAAAAGGCTCAGACCAGTTCAATTTTTTGAAGCCCGAAGCCCGCCCCGAAACAATACCGGGTTGGGTCGGACCGAAACTGTACCAAGCTGGGCCAGTTACGGACCGGTTGACCCGTCCCGAGTCCATCCATATATCATACTACATCCTATCATACTACATTCGTCCCACTATGATTGTCTCATTTTACCTTATCGGTGCGTCCCACTAAGATTGTCCCTTACCAAATTTGGTAAAATTTGTGTGGCTCTAAATCATTCTTACTTTATTCTTACTTTATCAATTCAATATCAACCACATAAAACAGTTTTTATTAATTCGTGTGTCACTCCATCTTGTCCCATTGTTAGCGGGACGGAGGGAGTACTAGGTAAAGCATTATTTGGAGTGTTACACACTCATGTAAAAATTTTTTACTTTACTTACACACATATTAATTATCGGTGTAACATTCCTATCTTTCTATTTAAAAGTAAGTGAAATTATGAATTGTGAAAGAGGATTTAAATTATTGAGGCCGTATGATCAGAAAATAATGAAATAGTGTACTAGAATGAATGATAAATTCAAAAAAATAGTTGTAATAATGTATTGTTTTCAAAGTTATTGACGGTATGATGAAAGATTTAGAAACGAGAAAATATGAATGTTACGGTTGAAAATGAAAGTGAGACGATATGAATGTTACGGATAGAGTATTATATACGTACACACATGTTTTTATGTAAGATATGTACTACATAATACATAAAATTTTGAGAAAATTGTTTGAATATATTCTTTTTTATTCTCCTTTAACCTCTTTTTATTCAGTCAAATTTGATTTTTCAAGTCAATGATGTTAAACATTGATTGATTATATATTTATACACGGCACTATAGATGATATCAAAATGATATGAAAATGTTTTTTTGTTAAAAATACTACTCCGTATTATTTAAATTTAAATTGTTTAAAATTTGACATAAATGTATTAATTAAAATAATGGATCAAATTTTATCACTTTTTACTGAAAAATCAAAGATAACTG